TTTTCTAGTTTCCTTTAAACTCTAAGAAGTTGTTCTTATATATCCCTATCATAATAGCTTAGATTGTGTTTGCAAATGTTCTTAAAACGGTTCAATACTTCCGCATATAAAGAGACATAGATTCTGTAGTTTAAAAGAAATGCAATTTGTTGACTACTATCACATTGGGAATACAATAATACATAGCTCTTTCTCCTATTATGCTTCCAGTTTCTTTACTTCACTTTGTTTCTTTTCTTTGTTTTCTGTTTCTCAATGCTTCTCATTGCTTCCTTGAGTTCCATCTATTTCCCCCACTATCTACTTTTCCATCCTACTATTTCCAATCAACTTTCTCAATCTCTACCAATTAAGGTATTGCCATCTCTTTCCAATACATTCTCACCATTATAGAATCTAATACTTATTAACAATATAGGTCAACCACAAATTCTCAAATCAAAATGTAGAGCTTTAAATAACTACATAACATTCAATAATCGAAAATCCTATCTCCAAATAAAATCTATCCAAGTAAAAAACCTCAGGTGCTCTGGTAACCCCAAACCAGGTAACCCGAAACAAAACCAAGCATTTCATAAACCCACCATTGCAGCAATAAAGCGCTGACAGAGTCGCGTATCATAAAGACAAAATTCCTAATGCAATCACCAAAACACCTCACATTGCTTTAATATATGAATCATTATTCCTCACCAAACAATACACGTTCAATTTCAAACTTAAGATCCAACGAGAAGATGAATCATTCGCAGAGACCTGCACAGTATCCTACCTGGCACGCTTAGAAGCATGTGGACCACACACTAAGAACAAGAACAATTGCTCAAAGCCTCATAATCAAAAAATTTGGCAGCCATATGCCCAATTGCCCAGCACAAAATCAATCAGTAAGGTGTAAACCATATTTGATCAGCAACATATAGCACGAGCCTTCTAAAGGGCATAACAACATGCTATTAACAACTTAGTGAGAGGATAGTGGTGTACATCCCACAATCTCTACTCTCACAAATGTGTACACTAATCACTAGAGGTGGTTATTGGGTAGGGTAGCCCAATGATAATAGGGTCAGGGCCAAACTTAAAGGGCTTTTAATGGACAGGGCCCTGCCCTTATTAAAGGGGTCAATATAGGGCCAAAATGTTTTTCCAATTTAATTAATAAAGAAAATAGATAATGTAAAAATAGTTACATAGATAAATTTATATTCATATATACTTAATAATGGCTTTGTCCAATATTTTTTAAAATTGATATTTTGTAGGCCCATCCATTATCGACCCGCTATTGACTAGGGGTGAAAGTTCGGTTTGCGATTTGGATTATAGCCAAAACCGAATCCAATCCGAATTAATTCGATTTCGGAAATCTCATCCGAATCCAAACCGAATTATGATTCGATCCGATCCAATCCAAACCGAATTAATTCGGTCTTTCAAATTAGAATTCAATCCAAACCGAATTTTGTTCCCTTCTTTTGCAATATTCAAACTCGAAACTTGAACTTCACCTAGAAAATTCCTACAATCATTTCTTTTTAACTAAATTCTTTGTGAAAGAGTAAGACATTGAGAAAGGAGAATTGAGAACTAGATTTTTTTTAAGTTTATATATGAAAGGGAAAAGTGGTTGGATAATTTGAAAAAGAAAATGAGCTTAAATTATTGGGTCGAAATTCGGTTTGTAATTCGGTTTTCGATTTTTTAAAACTCCAAACCAAATCCAATCCGTAATTGATATTTTTTAATTTTTTCAATCCAATCCAATCCGAATTTAAAAAAATCCAAACCGAATTAGTAATTCGGTTTGGTTTTCGGTTTTAATCGGAATCACTTTCACCCCTACTATTGACCCGCGGCTCGCATTGGTCCTTCCCAATATTGACCCTATAAAATTTGACCCTCTTTGACCCGATCCACAACTGACTCTCACCGATCCTGACCCGACCCGCCCAATAACAGGTCTACTGATCACCCATATTTACAGCTCTAAATACTGACTTGAAAGCACAATAAGTTAAAAGTCACAAGAAAACAAAGTTTATAAAAAGAAAAATTACCCTAATTAACATCTCAAAGTCAAACCATACAAATTTATAATACAAACTTAATTCCAAAAGTGTCTTTTCCTGTTTTTTAAGGACGGAAGGGGTTGGGTTAGGCGAGCAAAAAAAGAAACTTACAGAAAAGATCTCCAAATGTGCAGGCCATGTTGACAACTTCTTCTTACCCGGCCTTAAAGTTTTTACAACACGGTCACATCGTACAATGAGGTTTTTCTTCAATAGTACATCGGCAATATCTTCTGCTTCTAGATTACTATCTGATCCCAGTATATCTCTGACCTCTGGGTGACTTTTTAAGAATCTCACAAAATCCTTCCCCCTGAAGTACTCAACGCGTGTCTCTTGTAAAACTGCCCACCTTGACTCCAATTCTTTATGATCTCTCACCTTTTCAGCAAATAACAGGTATACATCCTTCTCTACAGCTTGTTTCTGAAATATAACACGACAATTCAAATCAGAGATGTATCCACACCTCCTCAAAAACACAAAAGGAGCTACATAAGACAAACATGGATACATAGCAAGGAAAGAATAACCTATAAGAAATAAAAGAGCCACCTCATTTGCTTTTGTAATAAACTCGTTGTTTCAAACGGGTTCAAATTACCAAAGTAACCAATCTGCTAGAGCTAAACAATAAAAAACGAATAGAAATTCAAGCCACCAAATCATATACATCACCGAAACGACGAGTTCACATAATTGGTACCAGTCTTTCCAATATGCTCCATCCGTCCCGAAACAGTTGCTACTTCCCTCCTATTCTCTCTCCCTAATTCATTCCATATGTTCCGTAAGTCCGTATCAAGAAGAATCCGAGCAATAATCAACTTACAATTACCGAAAATGAAACAAACTTTCTTCGGACATCCCAAATTATACTATGCGTATGATATATTCGAAGAGAAATCACTACAAAATAGGCATGCATTGCTTAATCTTCTTAAAAACACCATGATCTCATACACTGTTAACATCTATCAATTACGAAAAAACAACCTAAAATAAACAAAATTCAAATCTAAATCACCAAAACAAACTTAAATATCATTCATCACAACAATTAAACCTCAATTCACAACAAAACTTCAACCGAAATTGAACAATTCATCAGCCAAAACAGATAAAATCATCAACCGACAACTAATTCCATTAACAGAAACATCATCAAGAAATTAATCATCCAAAATGTGACAAATTAAAAGACGAAATTCAAGATCTGTAACTAACTTAAACCCTAAATCATCAAACAAAAATCAACAAAAATGCGAGAAAAAGAGGAGAGAGAAAGAGGCTGAACCCGAGGAGGAGTATCACTGCCGCCGCTTTGCAGAGATCCGGCGGATGATCGCCGGACTTTCTTCTTATCGGCGCCGGCTTTCTTCATATTTTCTCTCTCTGATTATTTTTGTGATGGAAGAAAGAAAAATGGGTTGGTATTCACGTATTTCGACGAACTTATTTGAAACGTTTTTATGTTTCTTTCTTACAAAATCTGTTTGATTTTTTTTATGCTGTACTCGAGTGTAGCATAACGACGTCATTACTTGTCGTTTTAGCGTTTTGAGCTTATGTGGCGGCGTTTGGATGCGGCACCTCAGAGCCAATTATTTTACACGTTGGTAAGTAAATATATAATAAAATGAGCCATAAAAATAATACAAAACTAAACTAAGGGAATGAAATTTGAACATGTAAGAGAGTCTATTACGTATATCTGGATGTACCGTATACTAGGGGTCATTTGGTCATTCCATCAACAAATGTGAAATTTGAACATGTAAGAGAGTCTATTACGTATATCTGGATGTACCGTATACTAGGGGTCATTTGGTCATTCCATCAACAAATGTGAAATTTGAACATGTAAGAGAGTCTATTACGTATATCTGGATGTACCGTATACTAGGGGTCATTTGGTCATTCAATCAACAAATGTGTAAAAATATTACTTATTTATTTGTTGATGGAATGAGCAAATGACCTTGTACAGTACACGCGGATGTATATAACAAATTCTAAACATATAACAATCTTAATCAGTAGGCCAAGATTTAATACATGTATATAAAATGTTGGTGCTTTGGGGTAAACATAAAAACAGTGAAGATAAAATAATGTACTCCCTCTGTCCCATAATATTTGACACGATTTCTCTTTTTCATCAATACCATAATACTTGACATGTTATGGAGTACTAAATATCTAATAGGACCGCTAATAAAAAAAAATATTTCCCACATTTTCTCTCTCTTCACCTAGTCCGCTTTTACCCCACTTACTGTTTTCTTGCAATATAAAAATATAAAAGAGAATCTTTTATACAATAAACTAATGTTTTAAATGGACTCACTTGTAATTTTCTTAAACTACGTGTTCACTCGAAATCTCAAGTATTATGAGACGGAAGAAGTAGTATAGTAGCACATTGGGAAAATTTAAGAGTAAATCTATGCCTCTAGTAACCTGAGTCATGAATTACTCTAATAAACACGTTGTTGGTATTAAATTGTGTTTAGATGGTATCATTTAAATACCAACAAGGAAATATATCAATTCCAATAAAATATTTTTGTCTTTGTTGATATTATTGAATTAGTATTTTGGTATCATGATAATACCATCTAAAGTATAATTTAATACCAATGCGTGTTATTAGAGTCGTTCATGACTCGAATTATTATGGTTATGGATAGAGAATTCCTCAAGTTTTAATATGAACATGCAACCTTTAAGGAGCATCAACTTGCTTATCATTTAAGTCAGCTCTTTTTGATTCCGATAGTTCAATCAATATGTAACTTATGAGCCTTATGGAATTAATTATAACTGGACTCTTATGAGCCTCTACCAAGATCCTCTCTCATGAGCCACAAATATGGACCCACATGAAAATGCAATAATAATATAATGAACGGTTTAAATATTTGTGGAATTGTGGCTGTTGAAAAATACAAAATCATAGCACAACCTTATCCCTCCTCAAATGCATCATCTTTGCTCTCTGTCACCTCAAACTCCATTACCAACAACAACAAACAACTACTTTCACTTCTTCAATCCCAATAATTCTACTACTAATCATGGTTTATATGGAATTAATTGGAGATTTAATCCACTAAATATGCTACCCAAAAGAGGCATTTATCATCAAGGGTGGATTATTTCATCAGCAATGGAAAATGATTCAAATTTTGAAGTGGACCAAGATAAGGCTAGACAAGCTCTTAGTGATCTTGACCAACAGCTTGATTCTCTCTCCTCCAAACAAGTCAATCCTCCTAAAATTAGAGGTCTTGTATAATTTCTCTCTTCTAATTAGCTCCCTCCGTTTTTAGTTGATAGTCGTTTTAATTTATATGATGGTATATGCAACCATGTTTAATATGTACATTATTCAACAAACTTGCATAAAAAAGGGTGAATTGAGTAGCACCACCCAAATTAGATAGAGTTATTCAGTTTTTATTCAAAGGTTTGGTTTCTATTACAGTAATACCACGTGATAATGTTACCTTTTCATGTTACGTCTTAGGACTAACAAAATTAACACGTTTTGAAAAATATTGCAGCCTCGAGTATTGGCGATTTGAAAGGGCAAGTGAGAGATGAGCCACCAGAAATATCAGGATCATATTTAGGATATACAGCATTTGTTCTTTTTTTGTTCACAATATTTTATAATGTACTTTTCTATACAGTCATTAAACCTTCAGTCGATGGACCAGATGAAGATATTGCATCTACTGATGTTACTTTAACTTATCAAACTCCCGATGTAATAAGCCAACCATAACAATAAAAACATTTTAATTTGATAATATAAAGTTAATATTATCTTATTCGTTTAATTTAATAGCACCTCTTTTTTCTCCAAGTCAGACGATATTCTTGATATTATTAGTAGATTGTTGTTATTTATTATCTTTGTTATTGAGATTCAATTTGAAACCAATAATTGTTCCAATTTATTATAGTGATGTTGGTTTAATTTGATTAATTTGTCTTCAATTTCAATTTAAAAATAACTTTTTTGATGGCTTGATGCATGATCGGTTAATTGATTGCTTGTAAATGAATGAAAATAGTTATAGCTTACAAGTAATTGATTGTACATATTGATTCATACCTAGACTTATATAACATTAATTATTCCGAACCCATAATCGAGCCAAGCTCACCATTTTTAGTTCATAAAAAATGGGTACGAGAACGTGATGTATGATTTTTTTTTTAATTTTATTTTGGTATTGAGGAGAGTTAGATAAGAACATTAAATCATTAAGTACGAGTAATAAGAACATTAAGACATCTCAACATATATTTTACTTATAAAAGGTATAATTATTCAAAAATAGAGATATAATTCTCCACAAATTCGGAGTAATAATATATTTTTACTCAATAATTTCATAAGGACCTCCATAATAAAAACGATGACCCAAAAATGATCGCTACTAGTTCCAGCATCCGCGGTTGTAAAATCAGTACAATCCTCATAAAAATCGGTATCCTCGGGGTTTAGAAAACCACGATCAACTTTCATTTGGAAGAAAACTGCTGATTTCCTATAGTCTTTTCTTGCCTTTAGACCACTACCCATATAAGGGTCTGGTTCAGCTAACCCTGGATTGCTAATCTCTCCACCCCATTCTACATTCGTGGCTTCTTCTGCCAATGATGTAAACAAACTTTTTGGCCAATACCCAACTGGCCTTTTGTCCTCATACATCGACAACCACCAATTCTCGTCATCTTTGTGCTACACATCATCAAAATTTCAAACATATAATTAATATAATATACGGAAAGATGTTATTTTTTAAAATTTGATTTGGATGACTAGACTTGTTAATAACGTGTATGCTGTAACTGCAAATGTACATCTACGTACCTGGTCAAGATATAAATTCCAATAAGTGATGTTTTCGTCATTGATATGCATATATTTATCGGGATGATTGCCTATAAAAATGTTTTTGGATACTTGAACAAAACCCTTACAATCAAAATTGAAACATCCATTTGCTCCAGCCTGTGACACAAAAGAAAAATACTACTTAATTAGAATAGAGAATTATAAAGAAATGCAAAAAATTATTAAAAGAGAGGTGTATAAATACAAATATTTACTTATATATAGGATGTAGTAAGGTTATACCTTGAATCTTATGTAAAGATGAGCTTTAGTGTTGTTGAACACAGATGGATTTACCTATAAATTTAAAAGTATACGTATTAAGGTTTGTACATTAATAAATTATTAATAATTGTTGTACATACATGATGATTCCAAATGTATGACGCTTTATTTTGTTTTTTTGGTGTTTAGAGAGCCAAAAGGACGAGGGTGAGAATTGATCTAGAATTGAGTGAAAAGCTCTAACCACAATGCGTGGTTCCTACACCCAGGTGTACCATGCACATGGTACACCTAAATTTTGAATTTCAAATTAATTTTAAAATTTTAATTTCATTTTCAAAATCTTATTATCCAAAATACTATATTTAGTTCTCTTTATTTTTTAAAAAATATATTCTTTTCATATTTTTTTTACCAATTTTAAAAAAAATTAATAAAAATATTTATTTTAATGATTGTTTTGTGTATTTTTTAGGAGGTTCTTTATATGACTATATAATGTTCTTTATATATATATTTTTTTATTCTCTAAAATTATTTCACCTAAAAAGAACTAAAAATATTGTTTTTAAATTTCAAATTTTAAATTTATAAATTTCATTTTCAAAATTTTAGTTTTCAATTTTTTTTTTTATTTCATTCATATTTTTCACCTTTAGTATATATAGTTACAATATTCATTTTAGGGTTGGTATATATAATTTTTTTGTGATGTCCTATATGTGATTTAATAATGTTCTCAATTAGAAAACTGAAAACATGATGTAATTTATAGTTGTTTGTAATGTACAATAATTTTTGTAAAACTATATCTTTTTCCTTATGTCCATAATTATATTATATAATGATTTTTATTAGATTTTTTGATAGTTTATTTTAAATGTCCATTTTCTTTGATTGCGTAATTACAATGTACTTTTATCGTCACATATTGTTCATTGCTTATTGTGAAATGTTCTTTGAATTTTGTCTTTGAATCGTGGTAGGTGTGTGTGTATATATATATATATGTTCATTACATAATATTATCATGTTCTATAATAATATCACGGATGTTCTTTAGATCTTAAAAATAATCATCAATAGAGAAGATCTCAAAAGAATATCGTCATCAACCTTCACGATCCTGATTTTAAAATAAATATATGTAGTTAGTGATAATTAATATTAAAAAAAATATAGAATTAATAAATGATATATTATTTAAAAAATATTATAATAATTCAAAGAACATGCAGAATAAATCAAGAACATCGAAGCAAAGAACATAAAGGATAAAAATAAAGAACATTCATATAATTGTTCAATAACTATTATAACAAACATAAGTACAATTTATAAAGAACATCATCTTCAACCTTTGACAAAATACAAAGAACATCATCTTCAACCTTTGACAAAATAAAAGAACATCATCTTCAACCTTTGTCATATGGATCTCAAATTCATAAATATCAAAATTGAAAAAAAAAATGATATTTTACAATAATCGTGCAAAATAATAACAAAATATGATCAACCTAATAAACAAAATCCTGAAATTAAAATCATAACAAATAAAATCAAATTACCTTCTCCGATCCATCGATTACAATGTTCTCATGATTTGCTCTGTATTTTTCTCTTTACAAAATTCTTTATAAACTTTATTCTCTCTTAATTCGAAATTTAAATATGGTGAAATTTAATTTTGAAAGTTATGTAAAAATGGAGAATATCATGTTGAATCTCATGAATTGTGGAAGAGATTGATTTTTTATTTTTTTTAAATAACAAACTGATAGCTTGCAAATGAAATGTTAAAAACTCGTCATTTAACACTAGGTGTACCATGAGCATGGTACACCCTAGTGTACTATGCAATTTTCACTCTACCCACTTGAGCTATGCTCCACTCTCTCTATGACTCTTTATAAATGAATTATTTTAAATACGAAGTAAGTAAAACAGTCATGGTTTAAACTAACCATCACACCAGCTTCGATAATATCGGGTCCATTTGAAACTTTCATTCGAGAAGCAGACCATTGTTTTCCAAACACAGTAGATTGATATAAGCTTACCGCGGCTCCCACTCCATGAAATTTCCTGCCTCCATAGCCTGTACTTACAATAGAAGCACTCTGCATCAAACCAATAAAATAATTAGAATTTAGAAGTAATAAAAATTATATTTTGTTATAATCGAGTTATGATAGAGTATAAAACATATTCACGGGCCTCAACCAAAAGCTTAAGCTGATGGTTAATAGAGCATAAAACACATCATGTTTTATACTCTATCAAGTTAATTGGATTGTTTAGTAATCATCGAGTCAAAGTTCATAAATTAAACGACTTTTAGACGCGAAATAATTGTCATTTGAAATTCCCTTTGGTTTAAAGTGTCATTCATATGTAACTCATTTACACCCCTACATCCACATTTGAAATTTTTACACAAAAGAATTCATAAAACATAAATAATGAAGGTGTACTTACACAATGTTCTCTATCTATGTTAGGTTTGATGGTTGAAGGCTTTAGGACGTTAAGAGATCTTAAAATAGGGACGGTACCTAAAGGACATCCTTTTTTGAGCCCTAAGTTATTGGGTTTCCCTCCTTGACTTTGCAGAGAAATTAGCTTTTCCTGTAAATAAAAAATTGGATGATCTCAAAAAATTAAAAATAGGTCTTACATACTTTGGAAAATTGATTTTTTTGGAAAATTGATTTTGGCACAACCTTATGCAAAAAGAGCATAGAAAATCGTGCTCTCATATAGAAGTGTGCCAAAATCATTTCCCCTGCAAGGCTACAGATATATCGTATAGTTGTGTATCTATTGACTTACCTTAGGCATATGGCTTTTTATCGAAGAATTAATAAAAGTCGGTTGCTTATAAAAATCCACACAATCAATTTCTTCTCCTGTCTCCATCTGCAATATAAAAGCATACTAGTAAAAATATAGATTATTTACTTTGAAAAAAAGGCGTGGAATCTTTCATTATTGTTTTCTTGTGAAATGTAATGTAATAACTATTGGACATAACTATATAAGGTGTAAAAATTCAATGATTCTTTATTTCTTGTCAAAAAAATATAAGGTGTAAAAATTCAAACTTTGCATTATTTTTCATTTGCTTTGAATTTCATAATATACACTAGAGATAAAACTAGAAAAAAGTAATTTGATCTGAAAACACACTTTGATGGTAAAAACCGGTTGTTGTTTGTAGAATGGGGATCCATTGACTCCACACAAAACTCCCATTACTATAGTAGAAATGAAAAGGCATGCTAGTTTAGACATTTTTGCAGTCATGATATTGAAATAATTTAATTAGAAGAGAATGTAATAAATCATCAGTTTAAATAGCATCATTGGTTTGGAAAATAAAATCTACGAGTACATAAAAGGAAATAAATCATCAAATCATAAATGTAATAAATGATGAAATCTACAGAAAAGGAAATAAATCAAAATTGATAAGGAAATGAATTGAATCAAAACCATTTCAACATTTATGTAAGAAACTCAAGTAATCCATGACCGAGTAACTCAAGTAAGGGCATGTTCACATTTACTTAATTTCAGTTCAGTTCAGTTTAGTTCAGCTCCAATCAGTTCAATTCAGTTTAGCTCCAATCAGTTCAGTTCAGCTTTATTTCCCTCTTTCATAAAATATTCATTTCAGCTCAGTTCAGCTCAAATCAGTTCAGTTCCAATCAGTTCAGTTCAGTTCACCCCAATTCAGTAAATGTGAACATGCCCTAACTAGGGATGGCAATGGGGCGGGTCGGATGCGGATGATGATAATCCATACCCATACCCGCCTAAAAATCTAATACCCATCCCCGCCCACCACCCGTGACGGGTACAGTATCCATATTCATACCCGCCCCACTGGGTACAAGATATGATTCATCACCGCCCCATCACCCACTTGGATATTCATACTCACCTCATACCCGCCCCAAAATTGTCACAATCCCTTTGCAATGATGCTATATTGTATCACATTAATGACGATTATATCAAATTAGGTTAAGAAAATTGGGACTTTCACTATTCAAGCTTATTGGGTCTTAGGGGGTATCTATCAAGTTTCATAAATTCTCAACTCTTTTAAAAGAAATATGGTGCTGGTATAAGGTGGGTACGGGGTGGGGCGGATATGGGGCGGGTCTACTCTAAAATCCATACCCGCCCCATCAACCATGGCGGGTACACATTTTATACCCATCCCCGCCCCATCACCCGCCAAACCTCCCTCCATCCCCGCCCCACTTGGGCGGGAATGGGCTGGTCTCCCATTTAACCCGACCCACTGTCATCCCTAGCCCTAACCCCTGACCGAGAAACTTGAGTAACCCCTGACTGAGAAATTCGAGTAACCCCTGACTGAAAAACTCAAGTAAGCCCGAAAACTTAAGTAACCCCAAACCGAGAAATTCAATTAAGCCTTGTCGCACGATACAACAGGCCGCATATAAAAATTTGTGTTTCTAAATATAATTATTTTATCGGTCTTTTAATACTTTTGTGTATAAGATTTAAATATGAAGTACTTTGTTTATATATATCCTTCCTCAATAAATAAATAAATTATATCCAAGCTAATGCATGTGTCAATTACGTGTAAACGAGATAATTAAAGTTGAGCATAACCCTGTTTTTTTAGTACAAAAAAAAAAAGTTCTTAACTGTTAGAATAATGGTTTTTTTTTGGTGCTAAGAAAACCATAATGGCGGCCGGCAGGATTAAGAATAATCGATCCTAAGATCTCTTGAAATCAGGAAGGAAACTCTAACCACTAGAGCTATCCCCCACTCTTTGAGCATTACCCTAATTATGTTCATGTGAATCATGTTCAAATATACATATATTTGCAATTACTTTTGATTATTTGTACAATGTACTTCTTTATACTCTAATAAAAATGAATAAGTTTGTAATGATATATTTTTACTAGTACCTTGTTAATATATGTGTCATTATTTGTATTCACAAAAGTTGTTATCATTTTATCAAGCTTTTTTTGTTCCATGACTAGACTTTTAATTGCATAGTAATTAAACACAACAAAACTTTTTTTTTTATTAAGGTAAATTTAACATGACCTAACCAGCTAACCTATTTATAATACGCTTAAATATAAATAATAAAAAAGACATATTAAAGGGCTTAAAGGCCAGTATAAAGTTTGCTGCAAATTACATGAAGCTAGATACTAGTTCGACTTATTTGGAGCAATAATTACTCAACTTTTTGGACCTCCGTAAAAAATTAAACGACCCCAAAAATCTCGAGTTCCAGCATCATAGACTGTATAATCGTTACATTCTGCATATATTTCTGATTCTCCTGGGATTAATACACCTTTATCAACACTAACGTCGAAGATCGCTGCACTTCTTGTAAAGTCATCTGTTGCCTTAATACCACTACCCATTTCAGGATCATCTGGAGTTCTATCACCAGGGTTGTTGATTTGGCCTCCCCATTCAATTTGAGCAGCCGAATCTGCCAATGATGTAAACAAACTTTTCGGCCAAAATCCAATCTGAATGTTACTCGAAGCCATATAAATTGACAACCACCAATTTCCGTCATCAGGATGCTACACGATGATTAAAATAAAATCAATATCCATAAAGAGAACGATATATACTTATTTTACGAGTAATATAATTTGGATGATTAAACTTATTGTGAGCGGAGTAACATTTAATTATGTCACAAGTTTACATTTATGTACGTACCTTTTCAATAGTGATGTTCCAATAAAATATTGTCTCATCACCTATGTGAGTAAAGCGATCGGGCCTAGCGCCTAAAGGAAAGTTTTTGGACACTTGAACAAATCCCGGACATTGTAAACTTAAGCATTCTGTTGGTCCAGCCTATGATAAATTAATAATAAGAATGGATCGAGTAATAAAAAGATGTTTGAATGAATAACTACAAATGTGTATAAATTACGAAAAACTAGTACTTACAGTGAATTTTGCATAAAGATGGGGATCAGAGCTGCTGTATAGAGGTGGATTTACCTAAAGATAATACTCGTAAAACATAAGTATATACCATTCAAGGTGGAAATCTTACATTAATTGCAGTTAGGAGGGGATTGGAACCTAACCACCCATAATTGGTCCTGAAACAACGAATACCAAAAAAAAAAAAAAAGCTAGAATAACCATCCAACCAGCTTCAATACTATCGTTTCCACTTTGAAGTTTTATTCGAGAAGCAGACCATTGCGTTCCACTTACTACAGGTTTAAATATGCCCACTGAACCACTAGCTCCATAAAATACTCTACCTCCAATTTCTGTAGTTCGAAGTGAAGCAATCTACACCAAACAATAGAATAATTAATTAGAGGGAAATTGATTGATTACATTCATTTCATTTTATTTGCTCCATTAACGATAGAAATCTAAATAAGAATTCGTGAAATAAAAGGGCACTTACACAATTTTCTCCTTCGTTAGGCTCGACAATTGAAGATTTTAGATCGTAAAATGATCGTAAAATAGGGACGGTTCCTAATGGACAACCATTTTTGAGCGCTAAATTCTTGGGTTCCCCTTCTTGACTTTGCAAAGAAGTTATGTTTACCTGTATGCAACCATTTTCTAATAACATTAATAATTTTCAAGACAATATGAAATGGATCTAGGTAACACAAATAAGAAGGAGAATTCGGTCCACAAACAAGGCTTATAAGCTTTCATACTAAAACCTCTATATAAACATTGAATAGACATACGGAGTATATATAGAGGTCTTGCTCAATGCTCAGTAGTTGAAATCGATTTGACTAATAAGAGGTTCCAACCCTTTATAGTCTTCCCTTTACTTACAAAATAATAATCAATAAAAAAAGTACATGCATTCAATTGTTCATTGACTTGCCTCATGCATATGATTTTTCATCAATGGATTATTAAAAGTTGGTTGCTTATAAAAATCCACGCAATCAAATTCTTGGCCGTTCTCAGTCTGCAAAATAAAAATTCATAAAAATTCATAAAAGTGTGTATGTAAACAATTATAGCTTTTGATCATTAATATGTCTAGCCCTCAATAAATAATAATACGGAGTAATAAAAATTGATATCTTAAAATTACAAATTGAAACAGTTTTAACAATATCCACATGACTACATTATTCATCACATATTTACATATAAATCGCAATAGATAGTCAAAGGCTCCAAAGGAGAGCATGTCAGTAGTGTCAAAATGAACATGATGCAATATTTGTAGAACGGGAAAATATATTCAGTATAAAATAGACTAAATTATTTTCTTGGGAAAAAAAAAAGTAACGATTGGACATAAGGTACAAATTAAGATCTTGTTATAATCTTCTGTAAAATCATTGATTTGATTTTCATATTTTACAATAGAGCTAATCAAAACTACAATAGTAAAAATAATTTGATTGGAAAACGCACCTTGATGGTAAGAACAGGCTGCTGTTGATGGAATGATGATCCATGTACTCCACACAAAATTCCCATTAAAATGCTAGCTATAAAATAACATACTAGTATAGACATTTTTGAGGTCATAACTAAATTTTGGGTAATTGAATTAAATTCAATTTTTAAAATGACAATGAAGTTAATTAGAAAAGATTGTAAATGAGTCAGTTTAAATAGCTTCTTTTTCCTTTTTCTTTTTCTCTCTCTTTTTTTTTTTTTTTTTTTTTTTTTTTTTTTGATTCAAAAGAAGTACAAAGACCAAAGAGAATAAGTCAGTTTAAATAGCTAGTTTGTCAAAAAGAAATATGCAAAAGGGAATCAGATAATAAGGAAATAAATCAAATAACTAGGAACTAAATCAAACAATAAGGAAATAAAGCTATTGATAATGAAATTAATCAAACCAAGATTAATTAGCTTGTGATTCTAAAATAAATGTGGCCTTTGTGGGGTAAGTTAAATAATTATGATTCAAATAAGAAGATAAAATAATTATCAAGAAGAAAGGAAATAAAATTGATTAATGGAGTGAAATGAGTATAGATACACAGAGAGAAGGCAAATTTTTATTTTTCAAGGAAACGAAGAAAAATAGTTGTCAGTTTGTCACCACTTAAAATGGGACCTAAAAACAAAGGCAGCTTCCAACATTCTTCTGTATGAATGTATGTAACATGCATGTCTTATGGAAAAAGGTCTAATAATAAGTAATACTCCGTAACTCCGTACCAGTATAATCATACAATTATCCAATATCAAGGAAAGAGCTATAGTCAATGATCCAAATTGGACGAACACAGGATTCTTTCCTTTTAAAATAAGCCAACTTAACATAGCCTGTTTACGAGTTAAGAACCTTTGAGGTAATCCTTGATAATCTTATGAGCTGAGAGTGAAAGTAGTACGCTCTTTATCTGAGATCGATATTTGGCCTAAACATCACCTCTAATTATGTTTGACACTTTCTTCCACTCGTGTAACAGCGTCCATAAGGACATCGATTCCCCAATCCTTCACATCCTCCTGCACACGCAAAAAATCCAAAGATTAGTTTGCTATTTTTACAAGAATACAAGACAACAGTCCTTTCCCTCATACATACCAGATTACCAGATCATATACGAACACGGGACCTCACATGTGCAGCCTCTCTATTTCTCACTGGCTCTCTGATCTATCCCCGATTCTCCACATAGTTCCATATATTCAGTAAGACTGCCAGTGGCTGTACACCATCACATCAATCATGTAATAAGGGTGAGCTGACTGTCTCTTGTCAACCAAGGGCTGCTTATCAGGCACCTTCTCATTCATATAAGCTTGGTTTCAGCTATCACCGCACACCCCCCTCTCCCCCCCCCCCCCCAAAAAAAAAAAAAAAAAAAAAAAAAACACCCAAAACTGCCACTACTCTGTAAAACTCCCACTTGCACAACCACTCCAACCATCCCTAAATACCAATTCCTAAATCACCTGCCCCTGCAATGCCCCTCCCCACCACATATCAGAACATCCTCTCTTCTAAAACAAAATACGTAGTAAAAAACAATCTACCAGTCCATGAAATTCTTTAACTTAATATAGGTTGCAAACCCCCATGAATCACAGTCGTTTGGAGGTTGAATTCGAACCTTTCAACAACCAAAATTCATGTCGATTTGACACGTGCATCACAAACACTGACAGGTACCAACCTGGCAATCTAGCTGAATCCTTAACTTAGAGAGGCCCTTTAAAAAGAAGAAACTACAGAGGAAACAGTCAGCAAAATCAGCACAATACTCTCCCCTAATTATGTTATCTAGCAGAATGTGTTATGAAATCAACCCCCTTCTTGACAAAAAAAATAAGTTAACAGCAGTAAATTGTAAATACAGGACATAAAAAGACTCTAGCAGTATAAGTATAGCATGAGATTACCTTTCTAACAGCACCTCCTGTCCTTATTCGTGCATTAGGTCGAGCAAGCTTTGATTCAAAAGGTGTCCTGGGCCTCACTTCTCGAATTTCCTCCCACTCTTCACGGGTGAGCATCCTAACCGTCCCTTGTTCAGGAGGAGCATTCCTTATCTTGCGCTCAATCAATTCTTGAGATCTTGACTCATCATACTGCCAGCCAACAGAAACAGTCCCAATTCTCAAATCTTGTGAACACACACTGACATAATAAAAGGAAAAGAAGAAATAGCATAAGAGGTTGAATGAGCAGCATAAATTATTATGACACTCATGTTAGCAATATGGACACAATATGTTAAAGAACTATTGGAAAAGCTAGTGGTCACCAGCTAACAAACATAGATAACTTGGTGAGGGGAATAAGGGTTTGGCACTTCCACTGTTCCACATAACACTCATCAAGCACAATTCCAACTCGTCCAAAGATGTGATTTGAGACTTAAAATTATTCAACTAACAATGGAAGTTTGAGAAATAAAGTATACATATGGGGTAGAAAATTGGACACTATTATCACAGTTAAAGATACATTAAGGTAAAAGATCTATGAGAAGATTGTCATCAGTAAAGCAACTCCCATGGTTCAAACTTTAGGTAGTTAAAGTGGGATAAGAATTGAAAAAATTAGTACTTCATAGTGGCAGTCTAAAGTTCAGAGTCCAGAGACTCCAGAACCTATACTGTTACCAGAGTTGAAGATAAATTAAGGTAGAAGACCTATGAGAAAATTGTCATCACTTACAATTTGTTGGATAGCAAGATAGAAGGGAAAGGAGAGTGGAGTGAGAGAAGAACTGAAGAAGGGAGCTCCTCCAAATCTCTTCAATTTCGAAGGAGTGGCATTTATTAAAGAACGAGGAAAATAAATCTTTCCACTTCCTTCCCCATACCCCTTAACAAAACAAGGGAATATGTTCCCCTCCCTATCCTTTTCTCTCCATTTACTGTCAAACTGACCCACCTTGCCTTGGTTATATGGCTATTTTGATTTTGAGAGTAATGATAGTTTGTGACACAACTATTTATGCTTTCAAATTAGCTTGCGCAGAATAATTCTCCCATCTTCTCATGAAAGCATAAAACAAAGCCCAATGCTTGCATTGCAATTAGTAGGAAAATAATTAACCTTGCCAAAAGAAGAAAACGAAGAATTACCATCATAAGAAGTTTGGCAAAAAGTGCAACCCCAACAGCAGTAAGCATCATTGGCATGGTAGCTGTATCGTAAAACGACATGGACTCTGGAACTTCAACAAAAACCTCAGTTTTCTTCGGATTTCTTGCCTTCCTCTTTTTCTCAAGATCAGCAACCTTTCTCTTTAGGGTTTCACTTGGTGTATCATGGGAAATTGTATGCAAGCTTCGGAATCTCCGTAATAAGAAGAGACTTCCCCGGACATTATACATGGTAGCCTAGAAACTAATCAGGCCTGCTAACCACACACAAAGTCACTAAATGAAAGCTTCGAAACAATCAACTAGGTATAATTTACATCTATATCAGCCAAGTTGATAATAGCAGATATTTCACATCACAATTCCAAAAATGGTTTGATCAAGTCAAATTCTATTTTCAAGAACACAACACAGGAGAATTACCAAACTCTAAAGTCATATACTTTGTAAGCATTACACTCGAAAGTACAACAAAACTAAAGCTACATCGCTGATTTACATAGTTCAATCCTAACATTAAAGGGTTGTGCAATACATTAGCAATCAAATTTGATTCAATTATCATATAAAGCTCAAAAATCACATCATTTTAAGGATATGTGATTCAATTATCAAATTAGGCTCATAATTTTCTCTTCTAGCAACATAATCGCTGGTTATGATCTTTCATAATCTTAGTAATTAGAACCAATAGTTGAGATTTTCGAACCCTAAAATTAGTGCACGACCACTGAATTAAATTAAACCCTAGATTGTGAAATTGATATGATGATTACAAAAGGAAACAGCAACTTACCTCGGAAGCGGCTGAAATCAAGTAGAACCAATAGTTTGTAATGGAGAACGTCAAGTATGATGTTGAGTGCGCTTCAATGGAGAAACTCAGAGAGAAACGAGGTTATGACGCTATGTATACCAATGGGGCACTTAAAATAAAAACAAGGACTTAGCTGTGTTCTAATTGACTGAACTCAGCAAAATTGAATTGAATTGAACTGAATTGAAATGAATATTTTATAAGAGAAGCAAATTAGGAGCTGAACTGAACAGAATTGAACTGAGCTTAGTTGAGTTGAACTGAACTGAAATGAGCTCAGTTCAGTTCAGCTCAGCTCAGTTCAGTCAATGAGAACAGGCCATTAGAGTACTCCCTCCGTTTTTTACTCCGTTTTTGCATTATTTGGGAATGCACGGGGGTTTTAGAAGAGTAATAGTATAATATTAGATGGGACGGATTCTAACTTCATTTCAATTCATTCCAAATGATCCAACCAAATGACCCCGTAGAGAAATGTTATAGTGTTTGGCAAGGTAGTGCTTCATAGTAGAGGTAGCATTTAGGTAATTTTTGTCAAACATTAAAAATAGTAGCGTTTCAAAAGTAGCGGAAAGCGTTTGTCAAATTCTGGTTACCTTTTTAAACAAAATGAACCTCATATTACCGACCATTAATTTGACAGCTAACCTCTACCCATTACTAATTAACAACTACTTGCTATTTGACCATTATAAACAAACTTATGGCATTTATCATGTAGGAATGGAAATTTGGGAAATATAAAGGGGAAGTGGGAATAGGAATTAATAATCGAGAATTTATCAAATATTCTCGATCTCTTGTTTTGCACTTGAGAATAAAATTAGGATTAAGGGTTTATCCTTGTTTTAAATCTCAAATTTGATATGCATTACTAAATTAAGGGCAAATATGTCTTTTACTTAGCTAGAGAATTCTCATTCTTCTCCCTAATCTAATCTCAATCAAACAAACATGGGTTTATAGAGGTTTGGAATCTAATTCCTACCTCATAATCCCACATACCAAACACACCCCAAAAAGGCCAGAGGAAGTAAAACTTAACACCTTCCCTTTTAAATGGAGGTTCTTTAAAAAAAAAACCGAGAGTTGTTTAATCTGTTGATAATTTGATGAAAAATGAGCAACGATGGTAAAAATGAGATGGAAAACCTGGAAACAGACAACAACAACAAAGTTCCAACCTCTCAACAACACAAAAGCAACAGCGATTTCTTCGCCGGAGAAGAAGGCAGTTCTCCTTCCCTCTTCGCCGGAAACGACGACTTTGTTTGGCCGGAATTATCCTCCTCCGGCGAAATCCCCAACGACAACAACAACGCCCACATTACAATGTACTCCATTGAATCCATTCCATCTACTTCAGAATCAACCTCAAACGGCGCCGTTTCAGCACCTACTGATCAAGTCAAAATTCTAGGGTTTGAGGAGAAATTGAAGGATTCCGATGTGGTAGCGGTTAGCAGCGACGACGATGACGAGGAGGAGGAATTGAGTGGAGAAGAATCAGAGGAAGTTATAGTGGATGATGAATTTAGGGCAAATTTGGCGGGAAAAGCTTCGAAATCGATTTCGACTGCGATGGAATGCTTAATTGAGGTACTGAAACAGTTGTATGTGAGTAATGAGAAGGGAAATGGGGATAATGTTGATATATTGGAGACTGTTAAACGTAGGGGGATGACATTTCCTAAGCCCAGAGGATATGATTCGTAAAATCCGATCCGATTCGAAAATCCGATAATCTAGTCTAGTGTTATAGTTGATGAATTTAGTCTAGTTGTTCATGTTCAAAATTGTGATATTTTGAAGGTTTAAATTTCAGTAGTGGAATTTGGATAAATGGAAGTGTAAATGCTTAAATGCTAATATTTTGTACCTCTTTTTGCTGCTGTTGTTGTAAAGTTGGGGTACTTTTTGTTTAAAATGATGTTGGATCACCATATTTAGTGATGTGAATGTGTTGTATTGGTGAAAATAATTTTTTAAGTGTTGTTTCAAGCATGAAATAATGGCATTTGGTTAAAAAGAACTATTAGTGCAATGCAGATATGAGATATGTTCATTTTTTAAACAAGTGGAATTGAGAATGGATTGAGGAAATGTCCTCACGGTGATCCTAGATCAATTTCCAAAGTAAGTTTATTTGCGCAGTGTTTGGTATGAGCTGATAAGATAAACCCGCAATCCTTCATGTTATCACCCTATCAATCACCTTCAACCGAAATCGGATTTTACTAGTTTTGAAACATATTATCTTATATAAGGATTACCTCTAAAGATTGGACTTTTGAGTTTAATTTTATTCCTTCTTTGAAAGAATTCTAGACATATATGTCATTCATTTCATTAGGGGTTATAGATCACATGTGAGAATGGAATGTCACATTTAACGAGTGCCTTTGTTTAAATGAATCATAGCAAGGTTGTTTTTAATAATTTGAACCAAGTTCCAACAAAGTAGAAAAAGGAGCGTTTGAGTAGTTTTGAGAGAGCAATCATCAAAAAAAAAGTTTGATAGAGAATTTATCAATATATAGCACTATACATGATCTTATATACTCCATAGTAAGAGCTTGTGAATTCACGGTTGTATTTATTGACATAACATTATGGATTCATGAACTTATTCACTCCGTATATGAGTGCTTATAACTTGTAGGAGTGTTTTCAAAAAAAAAAAAAAAAAAAAAACTTGTAGGAGTATAATACTGTAAGAGCTTGTGAATTCACTGTTCTTGTTTAGTATAGATAATTGTTTGGGCCTTTTTACGCTACTAGGTTTGGGCCTAAGGTTGGCACTTGAAGCAAACTGAAGCCCAGCTTTAGTGTAGTAAATTCTAAGCAATTTTAAGGACAAGTTATTTATTCATGATCTAACCCATAACTCAAAAGTCAATAGCTTAGATTGAGTAACATCTTTAATATGATTGAAAAATACACTTAATTATTCTACTAATTTTACTAATGTCGTGTCAACAAATCCATGACATTAGTAATTTTGATGGTTGCAAAGATTCTTCAACACTCTAGATAAAATCATTATCATATCATATCAAATTACTTAGTATTGGAAGAATGTGCATATGTCATTTATGACTTGTTATAATGAATCTCATCAAAATCTTCTTTGGGGGTTTGTCCTTGGCTTAAATACAAAGTTTTTCTTAATTTATTCTTTTTCAAAATTATCTTGATATTGTGGTGAGGAGTTGTGGACATCTATTATGCTTTTGTGTATGGAATTATTACTCAAAGGCAACTGTTTCTTTGTTCAATAATTCATGCATCCCCTTTTATTTCATGAAGGCAAACTAGGGGCCACTTATCGGGAAAGAATGAGAAGTAACATCTTCTATGTTAAGTATGCGGCTTAAACTAACTACATATAAGTGCGTAATTTGGAAATGGAATCCAGTTACAATTCGAATAATTGCTACACAATTATTCTTCTTACTAACAAAAATGATACTAATTATTGCTAAATAAATGGCTTGTGATTAGTCATGGGCCATTAACTGGCTAGCAAGTATATTTTACATATTTTATTTTTTTTAATGAAATATGGAGTGTGATTTAAGCGTATAGGATATTTAGAATAGTTCAACTTCAACTTCTGCAAAGGAACTTGAATGTGTGAAACTAGAAATTTAAACATTACAAAAGTCCAATATTCTCCTTTATACATACCTACCCAAAGGCCATGAGTCCATGACTAGTTACCCTTTCTACAAAAGTAAGAAAAATAAACAAGTAAAAGCAGAAGTGTACTATAGGTCTTTCTTAATTAGCATTTGTTTCAATTAATTTGATAATTAAGAAAGGAATTAATTAGTTTGGAACTTTAATTAACCTTTACATTATACACTTGATTATATATGGTCTTAAACGTTTTCCTTTAATTTAATTAAGGGGTTGGTATGAAACTATATATTAATTGTCAAATTATTAATTTTTCCCATACCCCTAAAATGAAGGAAAAGCTACCAATATTTTTGGGTATTTGCATTGCTTTTACTATCATCTTGTCGGCAGGAAGCTTAAAAATAGCTTCTTGAGGATTTTATGGAAATTCTTAATTTTTCATTTTTTGTAAGCATATTTTTTTCATTTTTTGTAAGCATATATTTTCATTATTTGTATATGTTTAATTAAAACAAAATATAGACTTCGAAATTACTTTAAGTGATAAAGCAACCACAACTAATGTGAGACAAGCAACTAACTAAACGTAGAGATTCTATCCCACAAATTTGGAGCACCTATGTTTGGTATAACATTTGATATGTGATAGCATGTTCATTGTACATCTAGTTATACTTCTGCTAAATTATTTATAAGAGAATAACTTGAATTGTATTGATGATCTTGGCTATTATTTAAGATATATTATTATCCTAAATATAATATTATGAGATTTATATGGAAAATATATCAGAATAATATATTTTCCTATATTCCTAACACCCTCCCGCAATCGTAACGGCAGTAACACGAACGTTACGATTGGAAAGTCGCACTTTGTTGAAGTCGATTGAGTTGCACTACTATGTTGATGTCGCCTTCAATTTTTTTTTATTTAAAAAAAAAACGAACTTTTGCTACCACGGCCCTTTGCTGGTGTCCATGGTCTTCTTTCACGGCCCTTTGCTGGTGTCCGTGGTCTTTTGTCACGGCCCTTTGGTGGTGTCCGTGGTCTTCTTTGCCACGGCCCTTTTCTGGTGTCCGTAATCTTCTTTGCCACGACCCTTTGCTTGTGTCCGTGATCTTCTTTGTCAGGCCCTTCGCTGGTGTCCGTGGTCTTTTGCATTTTTTTAAAAATAATAAATAATACGCCAAACGTGGCTTTTCTTCGTCTCCATGGAGATGCAATAATGGAGGAAGCACACTCAAACACTACAACCTAACCAAATCACATATGATCATTCATATTGATCACATACACCAATAATAACCGGATTAAATAAAAAAAAAATAGAAATTTCAAAGAGCAATACTATTGCATAGCGGAAGCAAATTTATGAATCCCACCGGTGGGTTTAATATTCTAACCCACCAGCAGGGGGAGTATTTGTGTGAACGGTCCCAAGATTTAACCTGCTCTTGATACCATGACAAATTATTTATGAGAGAATAGCTTGAATTGTATTGATGATCTTGGCTATTATTTATAGCCTACAAAAGATAATCTACACAATATAAACTCTATCATATAAACTTCCATAAATCTATCTTAGAATATCACTAAGATATATTATTATCCTAAATATAATATTCTGAGATCTATATGAAAAATATACCAGAATAATATATTTTCCTATATTCCTAACAACTTCTTTCGTCTTTTTTTTATTTGACCTAAAGAGGCAGAGTTACATCTTTGGTAAAATAGAGTTAATGAGAGGAAATTGTGGTGAGGATCGTGAGGTTAAATAATATAGTGATTGTGAGAGTAGAGTTGAGGTTGGTATGTGGACCTTAAACTATACATATATTTATGCTCTAGAGGTTGCAATTCGTATGAAACAGAATTGAATAAAGTAAATTTTAACATAGGATCATGGTTATAGTTAATTAGATTGTAATAAAGTAATTAAGAGGAAATGATAACACTAGTTAACTACATCACATTTTTCTTTGATATACTTCGACAACATTACACCAACATAAGCAAATTATGCAACATGATGAATGTTTCTATAAGAGAAACATTGTTGTTCTATATGACATAGACAATATATGGAAAAGTATAGAGTACATCTTTTTTCTATACATCAATACGCATGAATTTTATTACAGCAACATAATACAATATATGACTAAAGTAATGTAATACGTGAATTATTCAATTAATCAACTTATTATGACTAGATCCACCAGTATCATTTTATTGATAACAAGATCATCCCATTTCAGGATAACTTCCTCATGTAGTACAAATATCAATCCGAATTTTCAAAACTACAATCAATATACATTACTATTTTACTAGTATAAAGACCTAAGCAAGTAATTAACCAAAATTAGACCTCCTTAGTCCTTAGTTCTCAATTGACCACAAGCACACACAACAATACAACATAGAGGCAAAGTTTGGTGTATTAAAATAAGATGAGTAAATCATAGAGGCAAAGATCAGGATAATCAAGGATTCTTAAAAATCAAATGTGAAACCATTATTGATTAATAATTAATTATAGTAACAAATTATTTTTAATTCATACGATACACCATATTAACTTGTGATCCAAATGGATATACAATATGATTCTCTTTAAAATTGCAGTATTATACTATTATTTGGTCCAAATAATCCACTGTCCTAGTCAATTCGTTGAAAAGATAAATAATATTAAAAAATTACAAAAGTAAGGAAAATATTTATTTTTTTAAAAAAAAGAATTGGAAAAAGAGTGCAACAACAACCAACCCCATGGGACCTGTGTGATGAATATAGGAATGAAAATTATTTATCATCTTTAATTTGTAATATCCCAAAATTGGATCTAAACTGAGAGAAAAATAAGTGGGTTTTTAGAGTAGAAGAGAGAGAAAATTAGAAAGAAATTAAGAAGAAGAGAGAAAAGTCTCTGAAAAGAGCTTTGACTCTCTTCTATGGCAGATTCACACCTTCAATTTCCCATCTTTTTCAATTAATTTTTCTGGGTTTTTATATAGTTTTTGTTTTTACTTTTATCTCAAATATTTCAACAAATCTTTTTCTTTTTTTACTGGTTTTGTTGGTTGAACATTAACCATTTATTTAGTCTTCTTCTTTCTATCTCCTCAACTAAGCAACCTACTTTATTTTATTTTTATTTTTATTTTTTGTTTTTCCCTATTTTATCCCAAATCTCAGGAATTTCCCTCAAAAAGTACTTGAATCTGAAATTTGAACCTTACCCAGTTGATTATTTTCTATTATCTGAACTGGGTATACCTCAAATCTTCAAAAAATTAGATTTTTGATTGATGGGTAATTGTTGTGGTTCCCCAAATGGAGGTAAAACTAGCAAGAAAAACAAACCAAACCCATTTGCAGCTGATTATTCAGTAAATCAAAGATCTGAAGCAAACACAAAATTATATGTTTTGAAAGATCCTACAGGGCGTGAAATACACGCGCAGTATGAACTAGGAAGAGAGCTTGGAAGAGGTGAATTTGGGATAACTTATTTAGCAACTGATTTAAATAGTGGTGATAAATATGCTTGCAAATCAATTCTTAAGAAGAAGCTTAGAACTGCTGTTGATGTTGATGACGTTAGGAGAGAAGTTGAGATTATGAAACAATTACCAAAACACCCTAATATTGTTACTTTAAAGGATACATATGAAGATGATAATGCTGTTCATATTGTAATGGAGTTGTGTGAAGGTGGTGAGCTTTTTGATAGGATTGTTGCTCGTGGTCATTATACTGAGAGGGCTGCTGCTCTTGTTACCAAAACTATTGTTGAAGTTGTTCAGGTATAATTTCTAATCATGGAATTATGATTTTTATTTTTTGATTTTTTTTTAATTTGTATACAATTGGTTAGCAATCTATTTGATGATGTTGTTAGTGTGGTGGTGTTGATTTTGAGTTTATTTGTCCCCTCCTTGTAAGTGTGAAAGGAATTATTGATTTTAATTTGGAATGAAGTGCCATACCTTTTTTCATGTGTTCAGTATTTGGCACGGGTACTTGAGTAATGTAACAAGTGGGTGCAATCTTTCATTTAGTGAGAGGGATTGTAAACTTTGTGGTTTTGGGGATTTTGAATTTAGAGAATTTGAAATTATATACTGAACAATTTGTTTGTTTAATTGGGTATATAGGTTAGATTAAAACTTAAAAGTATTCATATTGCTGATCTTGTCAGTGTTATGTTTTTGACATGGATACTCGAGGTGAAATGAAGAGTCAGGGTAACTTAGCTAGCGCTGCACTTCTTTAGTTGTGATTTTACCCTCTTTTAATGAGGGGGATGTAAACTTTGTGCTTATGCCTTGATTTGTTTCTATTGCAATTCATGATTCCGGTTGTGATTGTTTTGTCCCAGCTCAGCTAGAAGTGATGCTAAGATGCATATTCTTGACCATGTCATTGAATCATTGTGTTTCATTCATTTATATGATTTTTTTTGGTGATTGTGGCAGATGTGTCATAGCCATGGAGTGATGCATAGGGACCTGAAGCCAGAGAACTTTCTATTTGCCAACAAGAAGGAAAACTCTGCCTTAAAGGCCATCGATTTTGGATTATCAGTAACTTTTAAGCCAGGTATTGCTACTTAGCTAGCATTGCTTTCTTTGTTTTTATATTGTCTCTTTTATGCTATTATATTAAAGGCATCTGTGACATTGGTTCTCTAGATACTGCAAAAATTGTACGGAGTAGTTTGAATTTTTGAAAATTTTCATTGCAGGTGAGAAGTTTACTGAGATTGTGGGCAGTCCTTACTACATGGCTCCTGAGGTTCTAAAACGTCACTATGGCCCAGAGATTGATGTTTGGAGTGCTGGAGTTATTTTATATATCTTGCTGTGTGGTGTTCCTCCTTTCTGGGCCGGTATGTTCTATCTAACTCACATGCTTCAGAATTGGATACAATGATACATTTTGTTTTAAATTGAGTTTGTTACCCTTAAAATTAGAGAAGATTGTGTTTAAATGTGCAATTTAAGATGATTTAGCCAAGCTTTTAGTTTGATTGTTTGCAAAAAGGTACAATTTTAGTATCTATTTTCATGAATTTGGTGTGCAATTCCACAATGTGTGTCCCATTTTAATTTGCTGACTAGTACTGTGCATTTTACACAGAAACTGAACAAGGTGTTGCACAAGCCATCATTCGTTCAGCTGTCGACTTTAAAAGGGATCCATGGCCAAAAGTGTCAGATAATGCAAAAGATCTAGTGAAAAAAATGCTTGATCCTGACCCAGAGAAGCGACTTACAGCCCAAGGAGTACTTGGTAACGCATCTTTTGCTTCAATTGACTGTCTTTTTCTAATTATGAATTCATGATGTAATTATTTCTAATTTACTCCTGGAAATCTCTTATGAGAAATGCAGAACATCCTTGGTTGCAAAATATCAAGAAAGCTCCAAATGTCTCCCTTGGTGAAACTGTGAAAGCCAGGCTGAAACAGTTTTCTGTGATGAACAAGCTCAAGAAAAAGGCTCTAAAGGTTAGGAAGACAGGCTAAACAGCTTTCTTATGTATACTTGTTGGCATCTGTCTTAAAAAATGGTGCAGCCATGACTGCATATGCTTTTGTTACCTTCTATTGCACACCTGTAAACTAGACTAATTTAAATTTGCCTGTTTGCAGGTGATTGCTGAGCATTTGTCGACGGAAGAAGTAGCTGGCATAAAGGAAGCATTTGATGCTATGGATACTGGAAAGACAGGCAAAATCAACTTGGAGCAGTTAAGAGTTGGACTGCAGAAGCTAGGACATCATATCCCTGATGCAGACCTTCAAATATTGATGGATGCGGTAAGAGTTTATCGGCTTCATGTCCTTAATTTCATCGTGAAGTCCAATTGCGCCTTTGGATTTATAGACCAGTTATATGTTAAACAATCTTCCTTAGTGGGTGTAGGCCATTCGCTAAACCATAATATGACTTGTTGTGCATTCTGGTTGCTTATCTTGGCATGGAGTTTATCTTGAAGGATTCTGAATAGAGTTGAATAACCGATGCTTTGCTGCGAGTAATTGTTGGCTCTCTCTGCTATTGTGTGAGTTTTTAAATCAGGACCTATGAAGCTGTAAATTCTCGAAATTGGAAGCTATTGCCTCTTGCAAAGACTCACTCGAGAGTATTCTGTCTGGCCTTTTTAAAATTGTCCAATCAACGAAACTCCATTACTAAGCATTCTGCCTTTTTCCCTAAAACTTTTCATGGCTGCAAACCTGCCATAGTGCATCGCTCAGAGTAACTAGGTAGACCTGCAATATTGCTTGAATGTAGAATATTCTTCTTTGCAAAGTTGTGATTTGTGGATAGAAAATTGCTGTGGAGTGTAACAATTTAAGATGCAGCAAAGAAGGAAGTTCTTGGGAAGTAACTTTTGGTTATAGAAGGTTAAAGAAGCTCTTAGTGATACCTTTGCATTTTGATAAACACTTCACCAAAGGATACATTGGTTTCAGGATTATGAGATAATTGTATTTACATTTAGTATGCTTGAGAGAAAGCTGTGCTTCCATTCCCATTGTGATTATGCATGCTTTTATCAAATTATGTATATGAAGCTTTTATGTCTACTGCTTTACAAATTATTTTCTGTTGAAGAAAATTTCTTTCTGGCATTAACAGCCACACAATTTTAAAAATGGTTTATGCAGGCTGATGTTGATGGAAATGGAGCGTTGAATTATGGGGAGTTTGTTGCTGTTTCTGTTCACATTAGGAAAATGGCCAATGACGAGCACCTCCACAGGGCATTCTCATTCTTTGACAAAAACAAGACTGGATTCATAGAGGTTGATGAGTTGAGGGATGCATTGAATGACGATAGTGATGCTATTGCCAACAACACCGAGGAAGTCATAAATGCGATCATGCATGATGTCGACACTGATAAGGTTAAATTCATTACTTAAACATATATTTGCTGGATGAGTAATTGAATTTATGAGTTTCAGGCTTGATTCTTTCCACCCTGTTCTGAACTTATTGGCTGTTCTCATTACTAATCTGATTTTATAGTAGTCGTAAATTCAACATGGGTAGTCCTTATCTGAACCTCTTTTCTTATATGAGCTTATTGGCCCTTTTCAAAACCTTTTGAGACTTGTTTTGTAAGGTGAAAAGAGAAAAGTCTCATCTGTTTTCTGAAAAACATCTAGGTATATTTACTTGTAATATCTGTTCGAGTGGGATTCCTCAGTGTCAGTTCAGTCCTTTTGAACTGCAACACTAAGAAGTATAGTAGTTTCTAGCTATCTTTTTTCTCATCTGAGTTGAGATATTTTATGACATTGTTTTCCCTACATGATGGGCAATTCTCAATGTGACATTGACACTATCTTCAATACTTAGAGAAGCACCTGCTGACCGCTCTAAGTTTGTAACGTGCTGTCTCAACTCTGATTCTTGTTATGTTTATTTTGAAGGACGGACGCATAAGTTATGATGAATTCTCAGCAATGATGAAGGCCGGTACTGATTGGCGAAAAGCGTCTAGACAATATTCTCGAGAACGGTTTAACAGCTTGAGCTTGAAGTTGATGAGAGACGGTTCGTTGATTGCAAATGAGGTCAAATGAACCCAAGGAAAAGATTGATTTAAGATGATTTACAGTGTAGCTATTCCTTTTGTTTTTCTTTGACCGGGAAATTTACTCGCTAATCAGAGATCCAGAGTAATTCCCGAAGATAATTTTTTTGCCTGCTTCACATGGATACTTCAAGTAAAAATGGGTTGTGATCCTGTGTACAAGCTATGTAATGTGCTGCATAGCTAAGGCTTTTTAGGTGGTCTGATTTATTACTTTTTTTTTTTTTCGTTTTTGTTTCGGATTTGTCGGTAGTTGTAATAGTAAACAAAAAAATAATAATTAGTGATTAGGGAGTTAATAGGGAGTAAGGTTGCTATATGTGGTCTACTTCATGCCGTTGTACATAAGTTGGAATTTTAAGATTCCTTCATTCAGAGAAATTATTCTGTCTACTATCAAAGTTTCTATTGAGCTACCCATATTTGTCACCTTTCTACATCGTTTTGGTAGGTGAAGTCTGATTATGAATTATATTGTGATAACAGTCTAATTAGTTGATTTTTCAAGATGTTCTTACATGCCCATTATGAAAGTTGGTGTGGTACACTCAAGGGTATTTTATTTATTTTTTTTGTTGCTAACGAGCAGAAAATTAAGCTTGTAATATTCTTATTTTTATTTTTACTTTTTTTTTGAAGAACTTTTTTTGTATATTTTTTTGTTTCTTCTTTTGGGAGTAAAGATGTTATTTTTTTGTATGAAGGGGGTAGGCACCGACTTGCTGGTGTGAGAAAACTACATCTCCAAAGTCCAAACTGCAAAAGTGTTTACCGACCATCATGCCGCAGTTTCGTAAAACTAACAAGGAGTATGCAATCTAAGCATTTATTTGCTGGCATATCAAGCAACTACTACTATTATAACAAAACTAATGTACGTTGTTATTTATAAGCAACCGATTTCCTACCTAGCTTGTAAAAGTGAATCGCTATTTGTCGTCTTAAAATGTCCATTTAAATATAATTTTAGGGTATTTATACTTGACCGGGGTAATTAAGAGTAGCGAATGGGAGCTGAGGGCAGGGGGAGGTAGTACAACTCTTGTATATGGTTAATGCATAATCTAAACAGCTCATTAAACAAAGAGTTGTACTTCTATCTACACGAGAAGAATGAACCTTACTTTTCATAACCAATAATTAATTTGAAATCAATATTATACGACTCATTGTTGTGGTACTAATGGATAGAGGTCGGATTGGTAATTTTTTTTGCAAATCTTACATAGTGTTGGTTTAAAATTCAGTCTCTCTTGTAAAAAAACAAAATAGATTAATAAGTCTCTACAACAATTTTATTACTCCGTATAACCATTAAACTGCACGAAAAAAAAAAAAAAACAAATTTGACACCAAACGCAACATATAAAATGTTCATCGGATTAAAGTTGCCACTTTCATCTCCAGTTACTTCCACTCCACTTTGCACCTTCAACTCCCCTCTTTCTCCTCAAAATTTTCAGAGAATTTGGAGTTCAGTTTCATCAAATTTGGCGATTCACGAGGATTTTATTCACAAATCGGTGAGATTTCTTTATAAATCATCATAATTTTGGTTAAATCTTTATTTTAAATTGATTTAGGGTTTGTTCTTCTAGCTAGTGATTGATTGACCTAAATTTGATCAAATAACGCAATTAATCTCGAAAGGAACTGAAAAATGAATTAAAATCTTATATTTATGTTCAAATTTGATTATTTATAGTTCATTATTTGCACATTTATGCAGTAATAGTGGAGATTTTGCAATGTGTTTGATTCTGATCGAGTAATTATTTTAACGATGATGATTAATGAATTTAGGAGTGGGACGCTAGTTCCAGGAATGAAAATGGGCGGCGGAGCGCGTCGATTTCTGTTTTTTCTCCCTGTTATGATCTTCCTGCCTTATCTGTTGCCTGGTGATTTCCTTTCTTGTTTGTTGTAATGTCTGATTTTGCTAGGTTGAAGGTTTTATCATATGAGTCTAATTTGAATTCTTTTTGTTGGGTATCTGTTTGATAGTTTTAGAGCTGCACAAGTTCTCAACTTCTGTTGATGCACCTAAAAAACGCGGTACAAAGGCCGACCATCTTGTCCTTGGTCCAGCTGCTGGTCAGGGTTTGCGAAATCGTTTGCATTGCCAAGGTGATCCAGAGTTTTTTTGGCAAAGCTTATATTATTGGTAGAATCGCAATGCCTCGTAGAGGGAGGGAAGAAGAATATTGTAGGTTGTTTTGACAATATTCTCTCGTGTGGTGTTATGTTTTACATGTGTTTCTGCACATTGCCTAATCATTCCCAATTATTGTGATGGGATTAGGGTAAGGTTTGATAGCCATGTGAACTAAAAAATTGAACTTTGAGGCGTTTTTTGTTTAGCTCAATCATTCAACTAGTACCAGTTAGTACTAAGAATCAGTATCGTACTATAGAAGGTTAAAGGAAACAGGGTAAAGGAAACAGTAAATAAAATGCATTCGAATTGTTGTTTGATTGAATTGTGTTTTTACTTTTGACCTTGTAATTTAATGGAGATGGTGTGGGAATTGAGTCATGGTGCAAATAGGAGCTTTACAAAGACGCCTTTAATTCTCTCATAATGCTTCGTAGTCATTGTAACTCATTATCATATTGTATTTTGCTTTCTTTGCAGGCACGAAGGCCTTGAACAAAACTCACCATACTGTACCCCAGAGCTCAAACTCTGGAGAGAATGTTGCATTTGTTACAGTATTCACCATTTATAATTCTTCTGAAAAGAATGCTGAGACGAGATCCTCTGATTTAGTGACAATTGGAAATACTTCATACACAAAGTTGGAGAGATCAATGGCCATCTTGGATTCATTTATTAACTTCATTCAGGTATGCAAATTTTAGATCTATGTAAAAACAATAGTGATTAAGATATCAATGCATAACAACGACTTTGCTTCTTTTTATATGTTCCATAAAAAAAATTCTTGAGTAAGCTCATTCCTACCATTTTGATGGATTGTAATGATGTGAGTATAACCTTTTATACCTTCTAGATCCTGATAGTAAGACAGTCTGGTGTCAATCCATTGGGAGAGGAGGGAGGCATTTGCTTGGCCGTAGTAGTGGTATCACTGATATTTGTGTGCATTTTTTTTTTTTTTTTTTTTTTTTTTTTTTTTTTTTTGGGTATAAGAGGTTATGATTAAGGTGTCTTCTAGAGTCTATTCTAAATGTAGGTAAAAGGAAGCTAAGAGACCTTATTTTGTCAAATGATAGGGGTCCAGCAATTCTCGTTGATTTAATGAGCTTTCGTAGTTGGCTTGTCAATGGTAGGACTTAAATGACTAGGCTTCAATCAGAGATATTATGCTTAATGTTATTTGTCACTTTTTTTTCCCCCCACTAAGTGACCTATGCTAGGGACCATCAAGCCAGTATATATGTATTGTCAGATAAATTTGGTTTGCAATATTGGTGGAGCTTAAGGTTTGTATAGATTTTGCAGGATGTTAGGGTTGTTAACTGTCCTCGTTGTTATTATATGTATTGATGGATTTATAGTTTTTGTCCCTCTCTTCCTTGGACCCATCAACTTTTATATTTATTGTTGTTATTAATGTTATTATTTTAAATTTCCCTAGGAGATATCTTGGTTAATGCAGCCTATCCCTTTTGGGATCAAGCCTTTGGTTCTATTGTTGTTGCAACCCTCATTTACGATTTCTAGATGATTCTATTGTATTTTTCTTCGATGAATTGGAGAAGTTTAGGGGCTTTCTCTCTATATTGCAAACCGTTAAGTATGTTTGGTACTTGGGATTAATGGATTATATTAACTATGTATAGTGTAAAAGAGTGATGAGAGTTGATGTGGTGCTAGCATTCTAGGTAGATTCACTTCTTTGGGTTTTTGTGAGCTTTTTTTCTTTCATTTCATTTTTAACTTTGATTTTTTTGATACCTATGCAAATTTAAATGCATATTGGATTGTAGCTTGATGGTATCTGAAGCATTTTAGGAGCTCCTTCAAGGATAAATTCTATAGGCCCACATATGTGCATCCAGGGATAGAAAGTATGTAAATGTTCAGATAGGCATTGGCAGAAAGGGCATATTCCCTTAGGTAGTTGTATGTTTTTGCAATCTTCAGCCTTCTTTGTTTAGCATCTTTGTATATTAGTCTCCTGAGTCCTGGTTGGTGTTGTAAGTCAAATAGAGTTCTTATCAAATCTTTATGTTTGCAGGTCACAATGCCTTTGAGCAATGTAATCATTCTTACTGATCCAGAGTCGGACCTTCACATGGACAAACAAAGAGTTACAACTTATCCCATTCAAGGTGAATATTCACGAGACAGGTTGATGCTTCAAAGAATTAGGTCTTACATTGTAAGGGTTCATTGCGCTGAATTTACAAGTGGTATAATATTATCATGGTGTATCTGTGTTTTACTTGGTTAAAAATAAATAAATAAATAAATAAAATTGATAAGAGCTTTCTGAACCATTCATATATTGTTCATCCATGTTTGCAATGCATTGCTTGATAATATCATAGCCTTGTGTGAATTTATTGTATCACTATGAGAAGTAAAGCAGGATGAAGACTCTTCTATTGAGAATCTTCATGTAACCTGCAAAGATATTAGCTTTATTGAGGACAACTGTCAGAGTGCGCTTTGTTACTGCCCTCTATAAGACAACTGTCAACATTACAATTTTGTCTGTGGGAGGCTGGGAGCCATCCAAAGGAGTTGGATAGAACTCATAGTTTCTTGCTTAGATGTGATAATTACATTGCTTTCTTTTGTTGTTATTGTTGTGTGTGTGTGTGTGTTGGGAGAGACAGAGGGGCGGGGGGGGGGGGGGGGAGGAAGCTGGTTATTTGTCTCATGGTTCACGAGAAATGAAACTTATCTGATCTTGATTTGAATATTTGAGTAGACTTAGTAAACTGGTCCGTCATGGGTCCCGATTACCATGTTGAGAAGCTGAAAAATCTTTAGTTTGATACTAAAATGTGGTTTTCTAAGTTTCTTCTATTTGATACTGTACTGGAAGGTGGGAAATTAAAAGCAACTCTTTCAAAATTGTTCTGTTTTGATTAAGTGGGTGATATTGTCACTTATGCAGGCCTTCCTTACTACAAGACTCAAGGAGCTAAACAACCATGTTCAAGGACAAATGAGCCATTACATTTTCACTGATTCAGATATTGCAGTGGTTGATGATCTTGGGCAATTATTTGATACATACCCAAGCTTTCATTTAGCCCTAACTTTCAGGAATAACAAAGATCAGCCTTTGAACTCTGGCTTTGTTGCTGTCCGGGGAACTGCAGAGGGCCTCCAAAGGTGCCATGTTGTTATACTCACCTTTCCACACACACACACACACGCGCACACACACACACACACACAGACACCTCCAAAACTAGCTAAAAAACAGGAAAAGAAATGAGAGTAACCATAAACATAATCTAAGTTGCTTTTATCATTTTATAAAAGGAACCTGCATCAGATAACTTTAATTTTTAAGTGCTGACGTATGTTTACAACACTGGACTCAGGGCTAAGGAGTTCCTGGAGGAAGTTCTTAAAGCTTACACTACAAGGTACATGAGAGCTTCAAGAATGCTGGGTGATCAGTTGGCTTTAGCTTGGGTTGTGAAATCTCACCCGTCATTTGATTCAAAGAGATTTTCTAAACCTGTACCTTTCTCGGAAGAACTAAATGGTGCCTCCATCCTGTTTCTACCTTGTGCTCTGTACAATTGGACTCCACCGGAGGGTGCAGGACAATTTCATGGCATGCCTCTTGATGTAAAGGTATGCTATACTGTTACGTTTACAAATTTTAGCTTCTGACCTGCTTGCATTACTCATCTACTTCTGTGAGATTGTCTCATAGCCAAAAAAATGTGAAGTGTCATGTTTTTTTTTTTTTTTTTTTTTTTTTTTTTTTTTTTGGTTAAGCTCTAAGGATAGATCAGGCAAAACAGACCAAGCCCAAGTAAGCTGACCAAAGCCAAAGTGTTATAAAACTAGATTTGCCTATTTTGACCCGAAAATTAAAACGACAAAAATTGCTTGGTTTTAAGTACTTTTAACGTAGTAAAATCGCTGAAAATGGTGTGGAATATTTATTTATATTTGAGAAAACAATGGTGTGGATAATACTCTGTCTTATGTGTGTATTTGCGTGCAAAATATTTTGGGTTTCAAGTTCTTAGTACTTTCTTGTTACTTGATGCACAGGTTGTTCACTTCAAAGGATCAAGGAAACGATTAATGCTAGAAGCTTGGAACTTCTTCCATTCTTCTTTGAACATAGATGACATGTTATGCCTTGTCCTAGGCAGTGGAAGAACAAAATATGACTTTTGAGCTACTTGTGGGATTTGCTTTAGATTGGAATCTTTGATAGGCGAAATGGATGGCCATACTGTGATGTGAACATCAGGATTGATGAGGAAATATATTCATGATGTGATGATGTCTCATCACAATTAAGGGAAGCCTCTTCTTTCGGGTTCACACACGGATGATAGATTAAGAGATTGATTAAGAGACTTGGGGAATATATTGTGCGGAATATTTATATTTTGCAGGAGAAATAGTCTTTTTAACCAGTTAACCTTATTGCTGTATCATACTTGACAGAAATATAGATGTTATTGTCCTTGTTGACAGTATTAGTCTTCTGTGAATTGATAATTTCCCCTTGTGTATACTTTTGTAAAAAAATTTGTCTTGTAAGTTATACGGAGTAATGTGCAACTATCTTATGCAGCGATCTCAAGTGTTCAAATTTTTTGTAGCCCAGAAATACAGTCCAAGCACCCATATTCCCCCTCCACCCCCACAAGTCTTCCGACAAGGTGGGATGTGGGAATGATTCCTCTATGAGAATGTGATACATAGGTAAGCACAGGGACATTTCAGACATTCTCTAATCAAATACGGGGACATTTTAGGAAGACATCAAAACCCGAGAGGGGGGAGTCGAGTAATCGAGTAACGGAGGCAAACAAACCTCCTCTCCCCCATCTCTTCCTCCTTCCCTCAGCATTCACCACACTCCTACAACTTGTTTTGCTGGGACCATTAGCTAACCTTGAAAAAGATTCCAACCAGTCCACCCCCTAAACAAATAAAATAGTTGACCTTAGGGCTCAACTTAGAGCCACCATCAAGTGGACTAGTCTAGTACTTTATGTACGAGTAACAATTTTGATTTTTCTTTTACTTGTATTAATTAATTAATTAAATTACTTCTGTAGTTTGGCCAGCCTTAATATTTGACTGAAAAATAGATCAAAAATTATTAATTTAGCCTAGAATTTGGTCCTGGTTCATTCTTCACCATATAAATTGCTATTTTTGCTCCCCCACTTAAAACGCAAAATGCCAAAACCAAAAATACTTGAAAAATAAAATTGGCTTTTTCACTTATATCAGTATCTTTATCTGACAGAGTATCACGCGCGTATAAAGTGCGTGTACTCATTTCCTTCACTGCCAACGTAACCTCTCACGTCACTTTCTTTCTCATTCCCCTTAACAATGCGCGCAGCCTTTCTTCCATTGGCAATTTTCTATGTTAAATCGTCAATTGGTTCTAATGCATGTACAATTAATATTATTTTTTTGACTTTTAAAAAAACTTTTAAAGTTAAACATGAAATAAGTTGTATTTCTATTTCTTTTTGATTTACATAAGTACATCCTCATATTTCCATTTCTTCTCTCACATTTTTTGTAAAGATAAATAGATAATACCGTCATTACGCAATATCTACTCTTTATAAAGTTAGTTAAGAATTATGGGAAAAAAAAATGAAAATTCACATTTATAAAAAAAAAAAACATGAAGATTACACCACTTTACACTTAATAATTCGCTTGGTCTAAAGTTAAAAGTTATTTATCTTTTATTTTTCTTATGACGTGCGGATATGAGTCCGTAAACATTGAATTTTTTTTTTATCAACTAGTTGTTTAGTGTAGTGGTGATTGAGATTACATTTGTTCGATCCTCTAGAACACTCGATCCTTCCTAATTAATGTAGAACTGGAATCTAACACTAGAATTGATCCTCAAACCTGGATTTGTAATTTGAAATCTAACACTAAAATTTTTGTGTTCACTTTTTGCATTGAGCGCGTGTGATACAACAACCTTAATAGGCGGTTTCATATTTGTCTTGTGTCAAGCACGTGACGGCACAATAAAATATATTTTGTGATTTCTTAAAAAAAAGTTAAAAAAATGAGCATTTTTAATTAAGAAATTCTCAACTTTACTGCACTTCATCACCACCATCCAACAATAACACTTCCTATCTCTCCATTTTTCTCTCACCTTAAATTATATATCTGCTCTGACTTCTCAACCCTAATTACTCTGCTTCATTAATATCTGATTTTCGGTGTTTTTCTTGAGGTATGACGACGTCGTTTGGAGCTGCGAATACCGCCATTTTCATCGACCCAAAGCTTCATATTCAGAGCTTTAATGGCTTGAAGCCTTCTGGGTTGATTCCTGTGCAAAAAGGCGTTCATGGGGTTTCCGTATCTTCTTCTAATTCTTCAACTATTAGCGCTGTTTCTACGGTAATCAATAAAATTTGGGTTTTTATCGCATTTTCTGCCCTTTTAATTGTTTGAAATTTCATTTTGATTGGTTATTATTACTGCATTTTTTGAATTTTTAATATGGATTTTTGAATTGGGATTTTGGTTATTAGAAATGGGTAATTGGAAAGTTGTAATGATTTTTGTTTGGCTATGTTATTTGCTTGATTTTTGCAGATCTTGTCAATTTATCTTATAATTAAGAATCTGTTAAGTAACAATATTTTTAATTTTTTTTTTATTCTTTTCGATATTATTGAGGTATTGTTTTGTAATTTGCATGTAATTTATTTATTTTGGGGTGAGAAATTGTGAATTTGTAGTGGTTTTTGGTATATTATTATGTGAATATATGAATGTTACATGATTCGATTATCCTCAGCTATTTGATGTTTGTGTTTGCTTCCATGAATTTACAGTGATTAGTTTTAAGAGTATAGAGTTTGTATTGTATCATGTATTAGTGATGGTGTATTGCTGAATGAGTTGGTGTTGCATGATATGCAGCCAGTGAAGCCTGAGACTGCTGCTGCGCCGAAACGTAGTAAGGTTGAGATATTCAAGGAGCAAAGTAACTTCATTAGGTATCCTCTAAATGAGGAGATGATGAATGATGCCCCTGGCATAAATGAGGCTGCTACACAGCTGATCAAATTTCATGGGAGTTATTTACAGTACAATAGGGAGGAAAGGGGCACAAGATCTTATTCGTTCATGCTTCGTACGAAAAACCCTTCTGGTAAAGTGTCCAACAGATTGTATTTGGTGATGGATGATCTTGCTGATCAATTCGGCATTGGAACTCTTCGATTGACTACTAGACAAACATTCCAGTTACATGGAGTATTGAAAAAGGACATGAAGACAGTGATGGGCACCATTATTAGAAACATGGGATCAACTCTAGGTGCTTGTGGGGATCTTAACAGAAATGTCCTTGCTCCGCCTGCTCCACTTGCCAGGAAGGATTACTTAGTTGCTCAGGAGACAGCTGAGAATATTGCTGCTCTTCTAACTCCTCAATCTGGTTTCTATTATGATGTATGGGTTGACGGGGAGCAATTTATGACAGCTGAACCTCCTGAAGTGGTGAAAGCCCGTAATGATAATTCTCATGGTACTAATTTCCCTGATTCTCCAGAGCCAATTTATGGAACCCAGTTCTTGCCCAGGAAATTCAAAATTGCTGTCACAGTTCCTACTGATAATTCAGTGGACATATTCACAAATGATATTGGTGTCGTCGTTGTATCTGATGACAATGGAGAGCCACAGGGTTTTAACATATATGTAAGATATTCATTGTACTCATCAATCTGTATATTTTTTGTCTGTCAGCAATGCTTTCTTTTCCTGATCAGCTTGAACTTTTGTGTCAGGTTGGAGGTGGCATGGGAAGAACACACAGGTTGGAGAGCACCTTTCCTCGTTTGGCTGAACCGATAGGCTATGTGCCAAAGGAAGATATATTATATGCTATTAAAGCTATAGTTGTAACTCAGAGAGAAAATGGTAGGAGAGATGACCGAAAATATAGCAGGATGAAATATTTAATTGACTCATGGGGTATTGAAAAGTTCAGAAGTGTTGTTGAACAATACTATGGAAAGACATTTGAACCAATCCGCGAGTTGCCAGAGTGGGAGTTCAAAAGTTTTCTGGGTTGGCATGAACAGGTGCATTTTTCTCTGATTTATATGACTATTTTCTTAAGCTGCCAATCTTGTTCTTTCTCATTGAAATTGGGAAATCATAGTTCCCTTCCAAATATGTTAGTCCTATTATGAAAAACTATTAGTTACTGCTGAGTGCTGATTGAAGAACTTGTTATTCTAGGAGTGGTATTCTTTAACTGAACACCTGGATAATTTAGTGAAACAAAATGAGTATGTCTGTCAAAATAGACAGAGATTCCTATGCTTAGTGTCATGATCTAATTCAATGGATGATGGAAAGATTTTGTATGACCTGTTCTCGCCTATAGAAATCAGAAATCATGAGAAAACAGATGGCTTTATGAAAACACTGCCGGAAATTATTGCAATATTGATGAAAATTCTTTTTTTTCACTTTTTCTTTTTTGATATATTTGTTGTTTATGTTTACAGGGTGATGGAGGTTTGTTTTATGGTCTTCATGTTGACAGCGGCCGTGTAAAAGGTGTGATGAAGAAAACATTGAGAGAAGTAATTGAGAAATATAATTTGGATGTTCGTATTACAGCTAATCAGAACCTTATCTTGTGTGACATTCGTCCTGCATGGAAACGTCAAATCACCACAATGCTTGCTCAGGGTGGTCTACTGGTAAGATCATATTTGAGTATCAGATTTACTGTTATTGTACCTGCTTCCTTTGTTATGCACCTTTCTGCAGAAGGGTAAGGGTGTTTGGTTTTTGTTTTGAAAAAAATAAATTGAGTGTGGGGGGGGGGGGGGGGCAGGGCTTGGAGACCACCTTCTTATATTCACATATATACACGAAATTGCTTATTTAAATTTGGTTGACCTCAGGAACCAAGATATGTGGATCCTCTCAATGTTACCGCAATGGCCTGCCCTGCTTTACCTATGTGTCCACTGGCAATTACTGAAGCTGAGCGAGGAATTCCTGACTTACTAAAACGGGTTAGAGCCGTGTTTGAGAAGGTATGCTATTATTAAGCAATGTCTTTTTTTTTTTGGGGGGGGGGGGCGGGGTGCGGAGGTTTCAGGTTGGTTTAACCCGTAACATTGCTTTCAGGTTGGTCTTAAGTACACTGAATCTATTGTAGTCAGGGTTACTGGCTGCCCTAATGGATGTGCAAGACCCTACATGGCTGAGGTTGGACTTGTAGGTGATGGTCCCAACAGCTATCAGGTACTTTTCATTTCAGAAACTCTCTACAAATGGCTTGAAATTCTGAACATGCTAAATTAGTTATACATTGGAGTAGTGTATTGTTCTTAGTATCTCACAATATTACAAACTCAAACTAATTCCAATCTTGTGTCAAAAACAGATATGGCTTGGCGGGACACCGAACCAAACAGCATTGGCTAGGTGCTTCTTGAATAAGGTCAAAATCCAAGAATTAGAGAAGGTGCTAGAACCTCTATTTTATCACTGGAAACGCTCTCGGAAAGCCAAGGAGTCGTTTGGAGAATTCTCA